GCAGTCCTAGAGTGACAGGCCACACCGGAGGTGTGTGTGTGTATATATGTATATATATATATGTATGTATATATACATATATGTATGTGTATTTGTATGTGTATGTGTATGTGTATGTGTATGTGTATGTGTGTACGTATGTGTATGTAAGTATGTAGGTATGTAGGTATGTAGGTATGTAGGTAGGTAGGTAGGTAGGTAGGTAGGTAGGCAGGTAGGTAGGTAAATCTATGAATGTATGTGTGTACGTATGAGGGCTCAGATCGCCAGCTTCAGCGCTGGAACAACTGGTAGCCCCAGTGTCTCAGAGGGCATTGCCTCGCCATGGGTGGGGAACGGAGGCACGCCAATCCATACATGGTTTCATTTATTGCTGCTCTGCGATCCCATCCGGACGCCAGTTCAAAGCCTTGTCGAGATTGATAGGTGATGTGGTGGTGCGCCGCACCTTCATGGAAAATAATGTGCATCGTGATCGCCTCACCAGGAATACACTGTGCACAGGTGACAGTGGCCACATTTTGGATGCTGGCTGCAGTGCCAATAACGGCATCATAGAGTGTGGCTGCGAGCCCAAAGGAAGTAGCCAGGCTGCAGGTGGTGTGGGGAGTGGCTATGACAAAGACCACGGCCGCTGCACGGAGTGCAGTCACAACTTGGCGAGTGGTTGCTATGCTGGCAGTGGTGTTGCTGGATCTCTGATTGCTGCGTTACGTGCCTCACGTGCTAGCAAGGGCATGGCTTTGTGCAAACAATGATCGTTTGAGTCGTCGGTGCATTCTGAATCTGAGCAGGTTTTGGCTTACTGAGGACAACTTGAGCTTTTTCTTTGGCATCATTCTGATTGAGGGTAAGCTTCATTAGGATGCTGCCTCCTTCAATCCGTTTGGGAGACGGCTTTTGGGATGTTTGCTTTCCTGCCGCTTATATCTCATATTCGGAATGCGGTTTTCAAGCGGGCGCCTCTTGTGACGGAGTGACGTTCTTCGGGGATGGCTTTTGACGCACAGCGGCCATCTACAGCCCTGGGGTTCATGTCTCTGTCTCGCGGTTAGGGCCTCTGATTTCCGCTCCATGAGTGCACACAGAGCGGCCGCCTCCCAAACCGCACGTTTTAATTAATTGCAAGCATAGGCTGCATCCGACATGGATTCTTTGCCTTTGATAGTGAAAGTGAAATTGTAAATGTATGTATGCATGTCTTCATGTACGCATGTATGTAGAGATGAAAAGATGGCTGGCTAGCTGGCTGGCTGGCTGGGTGGGTGGGTGGGTGCGCGGGTGGGTGGGTGGGTGGGTGGGTGGGTGGGTGGGTGGGTGGGTGGGTGGAGAGGAAGGCCTACTTAACGACGACTCTCCATGCTTGTAAGAAACAGTCTATAGGGGCCCTAATAATTAGAATAAGGTTTGGGCCATGTTATACTACAGAATAGGGGCGGCAATGAGGGGATTGTGCTACTAATGATTGGGTTGACATAGCGGCGTGGAACGATGGAATTGAAAGCAGAATTCTGAATAAAGACCTTGCGCAATCTCAAGGCGAAGGCGAAACCCTGAGCCCCATGTAACACTAAAACTGAAGCCCTCAATCCCAAAGCCACCTAGATACCATGGGCGAGTACTGGCCTGGAAGAACATGCCAATGATAGCCATCATGGCAAGGCGTCCGTTGGCCAACCTGGATTGCTTTGGGTGCTGCAGGGTGTGTGGCCTTGATTGCACGGCCCATCTCGCTAGATAAAGTTTGAAGTTTCCTGGGAGCGGGTCGGGCCTTGGTTCATCAAGGGCACTTTGATGACAACATTCGTGATACAAGTACAAGAATAACGGCTGTAGGACAGTAGGAATAGTAGGATACGGGTTTCTTCCGGGAGAGACCCAGGTGAACCCTCTCAGGGTGTAGGAAGTTGCTAGTACAGGAGCTTCAATCTCCATGTTGCTCGCTCAGCCCGTACGATAACCATAGTCCAAGAAGGCCCCACAGCCAAGCCGCTCGGCATTCAGCTTCTTCTTGCGAGTCTCAGGGTCCTGCGGGTCGCGAAAGTATGTTCGTTGTCGTGCGACAGGGGCTAGGGTATCGCTTTTCGCACAGTTTTAAGGTGCGACCTTCACCTTGAGCGTAAAGCTTCGGCTTCGAAGGGTGCAAGCCTGTGTTGCTATTCTAGTAAGGTTTGATCACGAGCCGGCGCGTATGTCTGGGCTTCAACAACAGGGGCTCTGCAGATAAACAGGAAGGCTGCAACGGGCATGCGAGCTTCACTGCAGTGGTGCATCAAGCAGGGCTCTTTCATGGGGCGATCACCTCATGTTCTTGGAAACTGGAAGTGCTGACCAACACTGAAGAAACACACGGAAGCCTGAGACCTGAAGAGTTGAAGTCCAAAAGATTGAGGATCCAGCTTCCATCTCTGATGATTTCGGGCTCAGTGTCTATCAACAGCCTTAGAATAAACCAAACTGTCATGCAGGGATGTTTTCGTCTGTAAGCAAAACTAAATCAACGAAACAGAAACAGGACACAAGGCGGTTTCCGGCTCCGGTGCCCGCAAGCATCAGCTGGGAACCCGGTCCTCGATGCCGGTGTTCATGATGCCGATGGACCTGCTTCAACCCTGAAGCCTCAACGCCCTGCAAGAGCCCAGAAAGAAATTGGGCTTAAGTTTGGAGTTGAAGATCACTGGTTCGGGTTGTAAGGGATGGTGGCTGTGATCCCTGTTGCGGACATTGGCATTCTAAAACGGCTGTTCAAGCATGCAGCTAGCTGAAAGCGAGCCGCATTTCGAACAAATCTACACATTCAGTGTCAAAGGTTCGTACGAATGCCCCAGAGAAGCTAATTCCGAGGGCTTCACGCTTTGGGCACCCTAACCCAAGAATACTAGAGCATCCTATACGGTCAGCATGGAACAACCTAAGTTTCCGAAAACCTTTGCGCAGACTAAACCCACACCCAGAGAAACTAAGCGACTAAATCCACGAACTTCCCCGAACCTTCAACCCTAAAACCCTCCAGAGTCCGAAGCCCCCAACCTTCATCCTGAACATTTGACCCTCCCTTGTCGTCCCCTGCCTCAAGCCAAGGAAGCCTGCTCCGTAGTTGCCCGGCTCGTTGTTGATCTGCTCGTTGTAGATCTCGGCAAGATACACAGCGGGAGTGCGGGCGCTTTGTGTTCGGAGTTCGGGCTTGAGGGATGCAAAGTTTTAAGTGGGAAGGGTTTGAGGCTAAATGGAGCCTGACAATTCCCCGAAAGCAGATCAAAGCTGCCAAACTCAGACTGCGGCCCACAACCATAAGAAGAACCTGAACGTCTCTCGGCCCAGGCGCGTTGACCTCCACGATGCCGGCAAAGCCGACGATCTGCAGCCAGCCGAATGCAGGGACCTGGAGTATTGGCAGGTGCTCGTATTGGTTCTACAAGAGCTTTAGGGAGTTCTCCGAGCATGTTTGGGCTCCTAGTTGAGGAATATACTTTGAAGTATATAGAGCTTCTGATTGGGCTTCCAGGTATGGTCTTCGAGGCACGGGTGTCGGGCTGCGTCCCTCCTTAGATGTTTTTGTCTAGGGTCCAGAGCCTAAGATGTTTCATCGCAGGTCTCGAGGGGTGTGCACGCAGTTGCAGAACACCCCCGAGCCCCGAAGCAAATCCTCAGCAAGCCCAATGCCCGCGCCCCTACCCCTAAAGGCACCTTGGAGAAAGCGCTCAGGCCGTTGGGCACATCGGCGAACTTGATGTCCAGGTACTTGGAGAGGTATCCGGGGAACCTGCCAGGATGAAAGCTTTGGAGGTGTGTAGGGGTGCCTCGGGCGCTGTGGTCCACAGGGGTTCGGGGCTTCGGGTTTGGGGTTGCGGTGCTTTTCTGCCCCTGAAGCTCCGACACAGGGACCCAAGTAAAGAAGGGCAGTGACGGTAGCTAAGACCCAGACAAGATCAAAAGCTTCGCGGTCCCCGGCCTCCAGTACTCCGGAAGGATGTAGCCGATTGTGGCGAACATCGACACCTTTGTACGACAAATTGGGGGTTTAAGTTTCGGGCCGCTGGGGTTTGGGAGGACGGGGATGTCCGGGTCGAGTCACCTATGGCTGAACTCCTCCGAGCAGCTCGTCCGTGCTTGAGCTCCACCTCACGGCGGCGATTGAAGTCCTGGGTCGCAGGCACAACAGGCCTCAAGATTTCGAGGGTTTGGGTGCCCACAAGCCCCAACCAGCACGGCTCGCGCTGCGAAACAGCCATGAAATGTCAACTGCAACCTCCGCAATCCCCCTAGGTACGGTAAGCTTCTCAGGGCAAGACTGCTTCGAGGACGAATGTCAGCAGAATTCAATGTAGAGTCTGCACCGGTTAAACCAATGCCCCGACACACTACACCCTATGCATGATGCAGCATTTCTCGCCGTGCTGCCGAGACATTGCCGCTTGCGGAGAGACCCAGGGGGTCCCAGAATCCGACAGGCGGCTGCACCTGAGAAGTTATTCTTTGGGATGTAAGCCCCAACACCCTACGTCCTGTATCATCCTGCAGGCTGGACATTTTGTTTCACAAATGATTGCTTGCCTCGATTGCCCCAAGCGACAAAATCTTTATTGTCCGCTTTGGTGGCCCTCGCAAGCCCTAATGCCAAAGCCTTGAAGCCTCAAAGAAGACCCGACAGCCCAAACCCTGGACCCTGTCTTTTGGCCGGTCTTGGCCGGGTCGCTCCAGTCTGATCCTCGAAGGCTCGCAGGGGGGAGTCCGTGTAGTTGGCCCAGTCGCCCCAGGCGGAGCCTCGGTCTCACAGGGGGCGTTATACCCTTTTGTTGTCCGAGAATGTCTTTATAACCTGACATGGAACACCTTGCGCACCTTTTGGCATTGTCCTGGGTGCATGGTGAAGTAGTGTTGGTTTAACAAAAGGTCCATGACAAGTTAAGGCACCGGTGAGTCCGTCCTGGAAGAACATGCCAATGATCGCCATCCTTGGACAACGCTCGAAACTTCCTGATCCCAGACTCCCATTCCCTATACCCACGGGGCTAAGATTCAATGGCACTGCAGCAGACCCCCGAGAGATCTGTGAACGAAATCAAATTGCAGCCCTTGCTTTTTGACTTTTGACGCAGCTGCCCGCCCTCAGGAAGGGCTGGGTGTGATCCGTGGACCCAAAGACTCGTAACAAAGACCCGAGGGCAAGTCAAACCAACTGCAAACTACAGTGTAGCCTTGTCGCGTTTGCTATTCGGAGATCCCTGGATGTAGTCCACTTGTCCCAAAAGAAAAACGAAACGAGGTTGGATGCATGCCATCACAGGCCCTGGCCAAATGGCTGAGAAGATGAACCCATAGAGACCGAGCCGCGGTTTTTCGCAGCCCTAAAGGCTCCAACTGTCTGAGGATGCCAACCTCAAATCGGCTTGCTGAAATCCCCAGGCTAAACCCAACACCCTGCCAGGGCACATGGCCAGGCGGCCGTTGGCAATCTCAGCGCTCAACCTTGAAGGTGGCGCTGACTTCGAAAACTGCAGCTAGGATAGTGGGTCGAGAGGGAGGGGTTAGGTCTATAGGAGTAGAAACTGCTCGTAGTGCTTCGGATTGCGAGTTATGGGTGCCGGCTCCTCCGTTGAAAGTTGAAAGCATCAGGCCTTTTGGGCTTAGAGCTTCTTGAGCATCCAAGTAGCTTCTTCTTCAAACCCTCTGGGTCGCTGGAGGTGAGGACCTTCCAGCCGTAGTCACCGGGGGTGCCGCTGTACTTATACACAAAGAGCTCGTAGTAACCGGCGAAGGCCACGATCTGAGCCCAGCCCGCACCCGGCACCTCGGATATGAGTGTCTCTGAATCTTGGGGCATTCGAGGTTCGGGGTTCCTATAATGAGGATCCCATGATGTGGAGTCCAAAATAAGCATAATCTGGCGTCCCTGTTGCTTTAAACGACAAGCGGCAATGTTGAAGCTTGGCACCAAATAGCTGAACCTCCAAATGCCGCCCTGGACCAAAAAACACAGACCAAGCCCGGAAAGCCAGTAACCCCAAGCCCGCAGCCCCAAGTCCAGCACCTTGGTGATGGCAGCCAGGCCGTTTGGCACGTCCGAGAACTTCAATCCCAAGGAGGGAGACAGGAAGCCTTCACAGGGACTGCCTCTCAGAATCTCTATGAGATCTATGAAGCTTAAGGTGAGGCTTGCTGTTTAGGGCTCAAGAACGAACCCTACACTTTTTAGCACACTTTGGAGACGGATGTCGGACTCGTTCAATCGGTGCACGAGAGCAGATTGAGATTTGGGGACGCGGGCATTGTGGCCAAAACTCCCGCCGCCTTAAAAAAAAGCAAGTGCGCACACGGACATCCACATATCCTCACTGCCGTCAACGAGAAAAGCCGAGGCCCGGCAACCAGGACGTTGGGTATCTGAGAGTCAAGAACAAAGAAGATAACCTGACTCGTACCCCTGCAATGCCTCTCATCTGGAGATACCTGGCTTTACCATAAACCACAAACATCTTTCTTGATACATATCCAAATGACAGCCGGCATCCCTCCAACAAATTTCGATCCCTCAAAGCTCAACCCAAGCCCGAGACTCAAACCCCTAATCTGCGCCGAAGTCCGACGCTGAAAATGCCGAGTGCCGCGCCCGGCCACTTGAAATACTCCGGAACGATGTACCCTCAGGAAGTTAGGCTGGAGGGCTTCTCGGGCTCTCGGGCCGTCGGGCGTGGCGTTCCGCTTAAACCGTTTTTCAACCCGGAAGTGGGACAAGAATCGCTTGTTTCACAAAGGCCACCCTATTCCAAACCCCGCACAAATGTAAGCAAACCCTGACCAATCACACCGTTTGCAGGCAGGCAGCCGATCGTGGCATACATGGCGACTCGCCCGTGCCTGGCGTGGCTTGATGTTGTAATGGCTTAGGCTTGAGGGTTTCAACTGGAAGCCTGATAGGGTGTTGAAAGATGTTCTCAAACAACAACCCTGATCTTGCTTTGATATGGAAGCTCCTACACACAAATCGTCTGCCCTAGACTCAAAAGCTTGAAGCCCCAAACCCCAGACCTCTAGAAACCCTTTGAAGCCACGGTGCTTGATCTCCGTCTCTCGGCGACGCTTGAAGGTCTCCACACTTCCTTGAAGAGAAAAGCTGTTTTTTGGCTTTGAGGCTTCGGGCGTGTTCTGCTTGAACTTTCTCAGGATTGGAGCTTGGGCTTTGGAAGAACTTTCGCGTTCATGTTAGGGCTTTTGGGGTCTGTGCTTTTAGAGTTCCTTTACGTGTTTAGGACATGTGCACAGAGTGCAAAAGTTGATTGGGTCAGAGTCTTGAGATCGACCCCCGAGTCATGCCTTTCTCGGGCTCTTGGGATTAAGGTCTTACACCCTCCTCTTCACCCACACACCCTTGAACCAAAGGAAAAGCTACCTGCCGAGTGGCCATCGCGGGTGTAACCGACCGGATCCTCGGATTCCCATGCACTTAGAGGGTTCCGGGGCTCAGCATGGAAAACCTAGCTGGGGCTTCGGGTTTCGGGTGGGATGACCGTTCAGGTGCTGTGGTTGGACCTTCTCCGATTCCAGGTCGACTGAGAACTGGGGGCTGCGACAGGCTCGAGTCTAGATAAACCAAGGTTTGCCTGTTCGTCCCTAAAACCTATAAAAACCCTTTAGAACCCATAATATCTTACATGTTACACACCCTGAATTCCAACACGCAAGAAAAGATCCCTCCCCTCCCAAAGGAGCGGCCAGGGAGCCCAGAAGCCCACAGGAGCCTGGACACCGAGCTCCTCCTGTTGCGACTTAGGGGTTCTAAGCTTTAGGGCTTTCGGGCTCCAGGGCTTTAGGCCGTCAGGGCTTTGCCTTTTAAGGTTTATAAGGTCTAGGGCCTGTGCGGTTTAGTATTTAAGGCATTCAGGCCTGATGAGGTTAGGCGGCCTGGTGTTCGGTATGAGGCTCAAGTCCACCAAAGCTTATGAAGGGACTTCACAAGAAATCAGGTTTTGGGTCCTGGGTGTCGGATGTGGAGAGTTGGGGCACCGTGAAGCTTATGATTCAGAGTTCAGGGTGCGCGCTTTATCAGGCTTCACTCCCAGGGCCTCGAAGGCGCGCAGAGGCGAGCCGGTGTACCTCTGCCCCAACCAAGCCCCGTGCTTCCGGGCTTACGGAGTTCGGGGTGGTTTTGGAGCTTGGAATCTCATAGGCAAAGCAGGCGTAATGCCGAAACTCTGAGAAAGCTTCAAAGTCCAAGCGGCAAGGACCAGTCGCCCCAGGCGGAACCAGTAAGGCCGTCCTCAAGAATCTCTGAGGTCCAGCGAAGGAGCACCTCAACCTCATATTATGTCATGACGAGCACTGATCTTGGACCTGGATACGATGAAACCACCGAGCCTTGAGATCCAAAGTCACTATGTAGTACGCTTTCCGAAAGTGTTCCAACAATCCCCTGCCAAACCAGTTTGTAAACTGGACCTCGCCGTAAACAGCAAGCTCAACAAGCCCCTTGCGACCGGCTTATTGTCGTCTCGTGTCGTCGTGATACGAAGCCTGCAACACGAGTTCACATGTGGCATGTCTGTCAACCTTCAAGCCCTGGAACTCTCACAGCATCTTCGGTCCTGGAAGAACATCCCGATGATGGCAAACATGGCCAGGCGGCCGTTGGCCAACCTCAGTAGGTGAAAGAAATGGCGAGGATACTTATGCAACAGTCATGATGATCACTATCACTATCATGACCATGACCATGACTGCTAACACGCGCACCAGCACCAGCACCAGCATCTATATGGTCATCATCAACAACAAGCATGATCATCAGCAGCCGCATCAGCATCATCGTACTTATCATTCTGTAGGCCGACCTTCATGTCAATCCATCGGTCTTGTGCCTATCTGTCTGTCATCTCACCAAGGTTTGGATAAACTATTATTTAGCTTGATCGATCTATCTATCCATCTATCTGACTATCTGCCCACCTGCTTACCTACCTACTTACCTACCTACCTACCTACCTACCTACCTACCTACCTACCTGGTCACAGGTATGTAAAAGGCCGCGTGGGTTTTC